GAAACAGGCTGCTGTCCAGGCAAGGGCAAGTCGCTGCACGTAGGGGTAATATACAGCCTTTTGAATCGAGCCAAAACCCACTGTTCTGACGAAACAAGTTATCGAGCAGAAATGAAATACCTCCACAAACAGTTCTCCCAACATGGATACCCGCATGACTTTATACATCAATGCATGAGGCATCAGCAGCTCAAGGGAAAAGGTATTTCCAATGCTACGGCCGCTCACGCACCAAAACCAACCACATGGAGAACTCTCCCATACGTCAAAAATGTATCTGAACATGTCGAAAGACAATTGAAAAAGTACCAGATACACACAGCACACCAGCCGGCAACTACCTTACAAACACAGCTTGTACACCCTATGGACAGGGTCGGCTACCTCGAAAGAAAAGGTTGTCTACAAAATCCCATGTTCTAGTTGTGATGCCGTTTATTGTGGCCAAACTGGGAAATCTGTCTCAACCCATATACATGAGCATCAGTTAGCGGTGAAGAGACGCGACCATCTATCCCAGGTGGCCATGCACACACTGAACACTGGGCATAAATGCGCATGGGAAAACACTCGCATTGTTGGCGCCTGCCAAACAAGGAAAGGCCGCGAATTCCTGGAGGCAATACAATCAGATGAGGCACGCATCAACCGGCATATTGATTTAGATGCCACATACAAAATCGTTAAGGTCAGATTCAAACTGACTCAATCGATTCCGAGATGACGACCTTAGCCAATCATGGAATTCTTTTGCCAGACTCAGTCTAAAAGTTAATTGTTTTTGCACACCCGTTGTCTGAAGACGAGCTGGGGAACCAGTCTTGAAAATTCACAATAAAATTTTGCTGTTTCCCAAAGAACTTCACCTTTCTAATTTAAAATTGTATACGAGGAAAGGGAAGAAGAATGATGATCAGCTTTCTGTGCCATCTATGACACAATACAAGTATGATGTGCTAGTGTCAATGAGTAGACACCGTTGGCCAAAGTTTAAATTTTGCGAGCGAATCATATTACCGTTTAAGAGCGCTGTTTTGCAGTTTCTTTAAGTGATAAATAAAGAAATTGTGTGGAGCGGTCACTCAGCTAAAGTCCTAAAGTTTTCCTTCTTTAAAGTGCCTTTAGGAAACATGACAGCATGGCTGCGTATAGTGACAGATTTTAAATTGTGTCGTGAAACGACCTAATGACGAGCCACATTGTCAATAAGTAACATATTTTATCTGCATGGACATCCCCGGCCCGCCCGGCTCTGTGCATGGTGAAAAAATTATGGTAAAAAGCTTAACCAGTATCTGCAAACGTTAAAAATAAAAACACAGAAAATTAATTTTACTTTCAATAAACGTGAAAAGTGAAACTGAGAAAAATCAACACGTTTCACACACGAACACTAACGGGTGTCTCTGCAACGGTAAAAACATATGAAGCGCCTTAAACTTAACAGATGTTGCATGTTTTTTCATCATAACCTGCGACCGCAACCCGAGAAAACAACTTGGCCCTTTATTAGGGAAATAAAAAATTTGTGTGAAGTACTCGGAATAATCCGCATTCAAACTGCAAAGGATAACCCTAGTGCAGCACAGATAAAAGTAGGCTTCCACGTACCTGCAGAAAGAACAAACGCTGCGTAACATCTTGAATAAGCTCAGTTTGAGCATCCTCAGGGAAGAATTTGGCTCTGAATTCAAACAGCAGTGGTGTGGACTTCCGAATATCAATCGACGACAACTTAATTTAGAAAAACAGCTTTTTTACTATAGGTAAGGGAAAGAGAGCATTGGATGAAACTGCAATAGACTTCTTTCACGAGATAAAAACACTTTATAGTAAAGCCTAAGACGTCATGATCCCTTGGCTTTCGAAAAGTTGCTTCATTTACAAGGGTAACTTAGAATGGTTAAAAATATGCAAAAATGAACTTGATTTCAGCTTTTTAACTACTAACAGGGCTGTTTCCTGCGGATAAAACGGCATGCGTTCATGAGCAACGAGAATGCGACAGCCAAATAAACTTAACGTCACCAATACCAAGCAGGGATAAATGGGTATGCACTAATTAAAGATAAAAACGCGCTCGTAATAGCATGTCTTTTAATTGCCCGCATTATCAATACATTTACTCTTATTCGTACGCACTGACGCCGTATATGCAATACGATAGCTAACAATTTTCTGTAGGTTTTTAAGTACAAAATTTGCCCAATTGGGTTATTTACACCTAGAAGCAATTATGGTTGGTTCCGACTGGGCAGTTGTCCAGCTACCCGAATACATACACTTATGTTATACTTAAATTCGTCCTCTGTAAAGGCTGTACTGGGCGGACAGAAACATTTTGGCTTTAAACGATAATGACCAAGAAGCTTTTTGAGGAGCTCGCAATTCTGTTCCTGTCCACCAGACATCAGTGTGCTCGAAAATTACTGCTATGACTTTAATTTATTTGACCAGGTAGTTTCAGTGTATTGGTCATCAATTAGGAGTCAGGTCACCCAGCGGTGGCATAAAAACAGCCGATTCACAAACAACCAACATGTTTGTCGGAAACCTGTGGTCCTGCGGTTAAATGATTCTGACCGCAATCGTCAATCTTTTGTGGATTCTTTTTGCTCAAATAATGTGGAATACTGAAAAGTATTCAAGTTTTATAACGCAGCAGTAGACAACTGTAAAGCGTAGTTAAGCTTCTACGGTATATGTGGGAAAAAATTGCATTTCATAATGACTGGCGTCATAATAATGCATATATGCATTAGGTAACCCAATGATAGACTCAAATGAATTTATCAACATAGAGTATGCCGTTAAAAATGACAGGCGGAAGTTCGGAACCCAAATTAACATACAAAAACATAAAGTGACACTCTAAAAAAACTGAACGTTATTATTCTTATTTATGGCGAAATTGTGTATTATACGTAATAGGTCAGAAGTTTGACAGAAAAATTACCCGTTTTTTTAAATTAAGCCAGGTATATCGACCTCTTGTATTCTGGTAAACAAGTCCAAAATACCATACCTCCCGGAGGCCGATGGTTCGTGCCACCTAAACTCTCTCAATTTAGGGAAAATAACAGACCTGGTCAAACAACCGCCAGCCAACAATACTTTCTTTTACAGCAAAGTCTAGTTCCGCCTCAGCAGTCGTAATACGCAAATTAACCTAATTGATATACATAAGTAATTTTTACTTACTATTTTCTCCTTTGACAAAAGCCGCATCCTAGATTAAGGTGGACCTTAACACATGTCACAAGCTTCCACATTTGTAAGAGCCGCGCCTCTTTAGTTTTGCCTGATATCACTCAAGGTAATCAGTTAGGCATGACAGTGAAATAGATTAACCATGCCCTCAATAATCGTTATCACAAGAATTAAAATAGATAACTGGCAACACTTTCACGCCTAGATAAATCAGTATTTTCAGTGAACTGCTCGAAATGGCATTCTGTACGCAGACTCAACGGATGCGAACTTCAGACTTTCAAATGATTTTGATATCCAGGTTGCTGACAAATTTAAATGCCTTTTCTGCAAACTTTCGTCATTTAGCCGACGATAAAATTGCGCTTATTTCGAGATAGTAGCGCTTGTTCGCAGAATTATAAGCCCAAGTAAACTGTGAACTTGACATTTAAACCAAAACAATTATCAAACCCTGAATAATGTTTTTTAAATAACTATACTAGACCGCTAAACCGAACAAATATTGACACGTGTTATCTTACAGTTTTGCATGTCCCTGTGGTAAAGTAAGTCTAAGCACGTTTATATGCCTTAGAATTCCAGTTTGCGGAGTCCGTGTGAAGGCTGTTAACAGAGGGCCTCTTTAACCCTCTGCACTCATCACCACCATCATAATATGCTTTCATGTTCTTGCGCATAAATAGTGCATTTTTCGTCCTTAAATCGTCTTTCTCTGTAATGAGCTTGGTTTAATTAATATGTTCAGCATTCGCATGTATTATGCGACGTGTGTGCATGTTAATTAATGGCCAAAACATCTACACTCAATACAATGACAGTTACCGTCGGTGAAAGTTGGATGTGATCCTGAAAACAAGAACTTTATTCCCCCGCAATTTCATATTCTTACTTGGACACACCGTCGAAGGCATTTTGCAGCTATCAGCAATCGCAACCGACACGAGAAAAATTTCATGTCTCAATGGATAAGAACGCTGGACATAATAAGACCCAAAACTCTGCTACGAGAGGACCCCAGTTTAGGTAAAGTTCGCTGACGCGGCTAATAAGCCAGATGTCTCTATCCAGTCATTAACCGGGGCAGTTCTAGAAACTATAAGTTTCACTCTGTGGGATGTGACTGTTGCGATTCAGCGTTTTCGTCAATCTTATAGTCCAGGCCCTGATGGTGTCCCAGTAAGTATTTTAAAAGCCGATGCAAACACGATTTTCCATCCCTCTTATGCAAGATATTTAATCTCGCTCTTAAAAGTGAAACTTGTCCTACCTTGTGGAAGGAATACCACATTTTGCCCATTCCTAAGCATGGGAAATCTACATCATTTGATGACTTTCGGCCAATAAACACCCTCCCCGCAGTTTCGAAGATCTTAGAGACATTGATCAAGGATAAGATGATGTGTCACTTAACAGCGAATAACTTACTGAGTGTTGCTCAACATGGATTCCTCAAAGCTCGATCTTGTGACACCTGTCAACTCTATTTCTTTGACTGTGTTCTCCAATATAGGGACCATGGTTTTGCTCTTTACACAGTATATTTCGATTTCACTAAGGCTTTTGACCATGTTGACCATGCTCTTCTTCTCTTGAAATTGCCACCTTCGGAATAGGTAAGAAACTTTTAAATTTTATATCCTCTTACACGGGCACTCGCACACAACGCGTTAAGATTTCCAATACCATCTCCAACCCCGCAAGTGTGAGGAGTAGAGTCATTCAGGGTAGTGTACTCGGCCCGCTTTTATTTTGCCTTTTCGTTAATGATGTACCCGATTTATTTCAGAATGGTAAGCCCTTCATGTATGCTGATGATCTTAAAGTGGCATATCGATATAAGCCGGCAGATCGTGACATCGTGCTTGAGCTCCTAAAGAGCGATCTACAGGCTTTCGCCCAGTGGTGCCGCACATGGCGCCTTTCTCTTTCCTGGCATAAGTGCTCAGTCATGGTGGTTGGCGACGACCGTCAACCTCAACTAAGTATTGAAGGTCACGCAATAAATGTGCCAGGGGTTTTAAAGGATTTGGGCGTATCATACTCCAAGAGTCTTAATCTCTCGGAGCACTGTGCCTTGATAGTCTCCAAAGCACGCAGAACGACCGGGTTTATCCTCCGAAATTTTAAAACTAGGGACACTAGAATGCGCCTTTTCAACATGTACGTTAGACCTGGCCTGGAATACTGTTCGTTTTCATTTAGCCTCATGCGTGCTACTGAGCGGAAGAAAATAGAATCGGTTCAACACTTTTTTACTAAGAGAATTTTAACCCCAGAACACCGACATTTGTCTTACCGAGAACGTTGCCGGCATACAGGCCTCGATCCTTTATGGTTCCGTAAATTACAAAAGGGACTATTTTTGCTATTTAAACTCTTATATAATCACACATTTAACCCACTCACCTCTTTAAGACATCATATCCACCCGCGACGTAACAGTCACCGTGAGGTCTTCTTATTTCTGCCTCTGGCACGTACTGTTAAATATCGTCGGTTCTTTTCTGTAAATGAAATTGCTATTTGGAATAAACTACCAATGAGTGTGAAAACTCTGCAAAATTATCCTTTATTTAAGAGAACTATTACTCGATTTTTGCATTCACAAAAGCTCCCACAAATTTCGGGTGCTGAAAACTCTGATCGACTGTACCGTAGCGATGGCGTTTGTGGTCTCTGAACACTATGGCCGGTCTCACCAGCTGTTCCTCAACGCCTCTACTTTGGCTATCCCCAACTTCATGAAAGGAATTTGACGTCCGAAAATCTCCGATACCGTGCAACCTCCCCCCTTTTTGACGGTCGATATTCTACCACCGCCGGCAATTTTTTCTCCTGAGCCCTCCAAACCATAAAAACCACCATCAACTGTTTTTTTATCCCTTTAGCTCAGGAGTTTTTTTCACTGCCGGTCGGATTTATGTTTAAAAGCTTCCCTTGACAATGCCTGTAAACTGGCATTAAATAAAAATTTATTTATTTATTTCCCTTTGTCCATTCGGAACTCCCTTCAGTAACAAATATGGATGATAGGATATCTTCCGCTTGACAAATCACCTCATCAGTTCAAGTGGAACGTAGCTTTCTGAAGCCATTGAAGAGCGTGAAGTATGCATCAAATCCTGCCAAAACTCTATCAGATGTAAGAAAAGCCGAGGATGAGGGATCATCACCCATGGTTACTGTAGTTTAACCCCAGTCTCCGAGCACTAGAACATGGTAACAGAAGTGGGATTTTAATCACTGCCACGGCATCAAATATTTTGAGATTTACGCTGTCTGAAGGCCTTAAAGTCCAACGCGATGCCCTGCCTCTATCCAGACTGAGCAAAACCTGCCAATAAGGATGTCCTTGAAGAAAGGGACACAATCGCTGGAACCAGGGAGTGCAGTGGAGAACACTGCTTCCAATGCCAGGATCAGTGGGTCAGATGGTCGACCAATCAACAAATCAAAACTCAGCACCAGTGATGGAGTTACTACGACTGATGACGCGAATGCGGCCATTGAGCGGTCATCGCACCAAGTGCTACAATCTCTGATGAAGGGCGGCCGTTAATTTTCATAGGTATGTGGCAACATGACGACTGAATCTAGTAAATGACGCAGCTCCTAGTGCATAAACCATCCGTTTTTGACATTATCTCTGATGATGGGCCCCGGTAGGTCTCCGAAACCTCGGGCAAATAAAGCTCTTGTTATAACTATCGTGTTTCCTTCTTCACGACTGCTTCCTGGGACTCGTCTACCCGCTTCTATTGACAAGGATATTTTCGCAGTTGGGGGCTTAACGCTCCCAATATCGCCAGTTCCTCTCGTTCAAAATTAAAGTGCGCAACTTATTTTCAATGACAAGTCAAGCTTTGTATTTTCTTCGATATCTCTAGGCAATTAATGCGTACTTTCAATCGAGTTCTTCTTTTTGGTTTATTTTTTCGTTTTATTTGGTAAGAATAATAGGCACCACCACTTCCACCCTCCTCCTTCTCCTCCACTGCCCCAACGGTGGCCGTTCAGGCTGCCGTCTCACACATCGCCAACCACGACACAGCAACCGCAACCACCCCCACCTGCCCTCACTGCGACCGCACCTTCACCTCACACAACGGCCTGGTCGGTCACTTGCAAATCCATCGCACAGAGACTGGTGAACCAGTGCCTGGAGCACCAACCTGCACCCACCGCACTCGCCTCCACTGCCCACAATGCCCTCGCACCTTCCGGCATCGCATGGGCCTATTCGGCCACATGCGCATCCACGAGAGCGGAATTGACCGCAGCCTTGACACACCCACCCCGCCGAGCCCCACTCCCAATCCATCACCTTGTGCACCCACTAACCACTCCCCAGCCGACATCGACGCCACCGACCTTACCACCCCTCACTCCCTCCCTTCCTCCTCCACCTCCTCCTTCACTGCCACAACGACGGCCACTCCGGCGTCTGTAGCACACGACTTCACCACAGCCGCACCTGACACAACAACAGGTACAACCCCTGCAACCTCCATCAACAGATGTGAGGGACCGGACTACATCTGCCCTCACTGCGATCGCACCTTCACTTCACGCATCGGCCTTGTCGGTCACTTGCAAATCCATCGCACAGAGACTGGCGAACCAGTGCCTGGAGCACCAACCTACACCCACCGCACTCGCCTCCACTGCCCACACTGCCCTCGCACCTTCAGGCACCGCATGGGCCTATTCGGTCACATGCGCATCCCCAACGACCTGCGGTAGACAACCGCCGGTCACACCACATATTCCCTCACCCCCTACCTCCTAACACCATCACCCCACCAGACATCAACCCCCACACACCTCATGCACTCAACTGCCGCCTCCCACGCAAGTGGGAAGTGTGCATCTCGACTCGGTCCCCATGCGGCCTCAGCTGCGCGGGTGACTTGAGTCCGAGACTATCCCGACACGTCAAGTGTCGTGGATAGGAAGGTTGCTGATTGACGCCCGTTCTCGGTTCACGCAGTTCGTCACGTTGTGTGTGTGTGTTGTGTAGTGGCGGACTGGTGGGCTGGGACGGGCTGAAGCAGCACCTTCCACGGCCCTCTCACGCATGTGAGAGACACGCCGTTCAACCCCCGTTGTGTGAAATCCTGGTGTTTGTGTGTATGGGGGGCCAGGTCGTGCTGTGGCGCGCGCAGGCATGGTCAGTCGACCATGTCAGCCTCCGCGCCCATTCCCCACTCCAGTCTACTGACCGGCTCGGACAATGGCTGGGATGTGGGAATGGGAAGGGAGAGTGAGGTCGACGACACAGCGCATTTTCCTCACTATAAACAATCTGACGCGCTTGAAGCTATCACGGTGCGCTAAAAGCCGTGGCTTGGAAGGCTGCCAACTGACGGGGTACCTTGGGCCTCCTCCTTAACGGGAGGCGGTCTGAGAGTCAGGCTGCAATGGCTCCTTTTTAATGTGGCCTTTATGGCACTCCCACCACAGTGTGGGATCCGAGCCAGGCGTTGGCGGCACGCCCAGGTGCGGCTTCGGCCGTGCCAGCCTCCAAATCTATGTTGTGTTGGTTCAAATCCTGGTTATTGTTATGTGGACAGGGGGTGTGGTGGAACGCCAAGGTGAGGATCCGTCCGAGCCATCCACCTGCGGCCTCCCTCGTCTCCGGTCTTCTTGACTCTGTCTTGACACCGGGCCCAGGCGGGGGAGGAGGAGAGATTGTAGGTAGATGCTACGCAAGTCTACTGGCACTATAAACCCCTGCGTAAGTCACCGTCCCTGCTCCCACCGCTGCTGCAGCTGTGGGGCACACGGTGGACATCGTCGAAATCGACGGTCGAACTGTCAATAGGCAAAGCCTTTGAAAACCCTATTGATTACATGTCAGCTCGTTAGAAATAACTGTACACGAACAATGAAAATATTCGCTGTTAAAACAGTACTTGATTTATTTGAGTAGCATTGTTTCAGAGGAAAAGAGTGCGGGGTCGCGGGGTATTTAGCTCGGGTTAAGAATGTTGAGCGAAAACAGGGAACAAAAATAATAGTCTAAGCGTTTCCTGAAGAGTTGCAGCGACGTCGCCTCTACGACTGACTGAAAGAGATCGTTCCATTTTGCCACTACCCTTCGAGTGAAAAATTCAGAACGAAAATTCAGCCCGGACATTGTTGTCCGCAGCTTTATCGAGTGACCACGAAGATTGGGTGAAAGTCGCTTTTTATTGCCGGGTGTAATTTCTCCCTGCATTATTAAACAGTCTGTTAAATTAGTTGCATTTTGCAAAGCGCCTGCTAATTGACGCCGTTTCAAACTGTCTGCTTCTAGATACCGTATTGAATTAACAGTAGTGGTTGCTGTCCCGTGCGTTTTTTGTTAAGGTGGCAAATTTGTGATCTTTGCATTGAAAGAAAAAAACCTGTCAAATAATTTTTAATGTACCGAAGAATATTTGCTAAATGACGAAATCTCACGGCCTCCTCGCCATCCCTGAGTGCTACAATAGTGGTCGGAGACACAGTAGGTGATAGAGTGTGTTTGCAGTCACTAAATATGGTAGAATCAAACGTCCTTGACCGTTTAGTTGCTCAAACTACCTCTCTGCTGGTTGTAACAGAACATCATCTGACGAAATATCAGGTCAGTTGATATATGGCGATATGAACAGCACTTCTGAAACGTTATGGGACAAGCGTTTAAAGTTATTGGGGCAATAAGCTCCGAAACTGAGAAAACAATAAAACGTAGGCATAATTTTATACTGCGCAACGCTCCGAATCACATTTCTGCAATTGAGGGTGCACATTTGTTTCTGCAAAGTTTTAATTTGGGCTTCAGTGCCGTGCAGGTTGAACGATTACGCTGCCTCACTCATGATGCACCGACACATGTTACTTTCTTCTCCTTGATAGAAGGTAACTTCATTTTTTCGAGGAAGGAGACAACAGGCGAATTCTGCCGTAATTGGCATTGCACAGTTTCCCAGATCTAACACCATTGCAGAGAAGACTAAATAATTTTAAAATGTCGATAATTAACGCCCACATAATGACCCATGTTACCATGTTGAATAAGTCTTCTTCAACACCATCCGCGGCCTCACCACGTCTTGACACAATCAATTCCATAGGGAAGTACACTACTCTTGATGTTGAGGTCATTAAACGCAACAACACGCATTGTAAATAGACACCCCTTCCGAATCCGCCGATAACACAAAGTAAACCGAAGCATGTGCCTAATTCAAAGAGAAGGCCGAATGCGACATCAACCAATCGATACTGAGTAAGTCCAGTTCATCGAAGAAATATTTGTCTTCACAATCGCCTGCTACTGCAACAAAATTCACGGGCCAAAATATAGCGTGTTTCCAACCACCCCCAGGTCTAATATCGAAATGTTTAAGCCAAATATACAAAAATTCCCGTCATTGAAGAGAAATACTGCCTCAATCGATTCCCTACGTCTCCCCTCAACATGTTCCCTACACGGACGCTTTATCAATGTAATCCTTTAAGGTAAGCAAGGACAGCAGAATTTAATGGTACCACAAAATTTCGCGACGGCTTCTCAACTGCTGCCGGTCGCTGCATAACAGAAATAACAAGTGAGAAAGGTACAAAGGTTTGAATTTCGACAGAGAAAATCGATGTAAAACAGCAAGGTCAGCGTGTACTGCGCGTAAACTAATCGATAAAATGGTAACTTCAAAATGCAACATAGGAATGAAAATGGGGAACTAGGCATGCCGAGGGATTTCGAAACTCAAAAGGGCTCGGGTCTACCAGGGCAAGCTGAGGTTGACCACGTGGTCTAACTGTTTACATAGGTCGGGTTTCTCCCGCCGTATATAGGCTGCCTCCAGGCAGCGCAATAACCGAGTAGTTCGTGCTCGAACTAATACTCGAAAAGACGTCTTAGGGTCAACCAACTGGCCACTATCAAGGAGATGTTTTGTAATGGAAGACCGTGGAATCTTGTTCTCCTGCTTTAGAAGCCATTTAGGCAGGTGCTCAACTGCTCTGGCTGCCAGTTGCCTTTGCGTTCGCCCAATATACTTGCATCCACAAGTACATGTAAGTTCGTAAACACAATTTGCTTTGATGGGACCCCGACGGGTCTTTAATAAAAATAATTGAATTGAATCCTTCGCCCGTGGAACTTCGATAGCCTTAGTAGAACTGTAGACGATGAGTTCAGCTGAGTTTTAGGTTCTTTCAATAGCGCATCTCAATCGCCGCTTGATGGTATTAGAGATGTTGTCGCCCCTAAACGGTAAGGATATTATAACGGGCTTTTTCGAAACAGATTGCTCCGTCAATTTTGGCCTCAAAGTGTTGCTGTACTTTTCGATGAATCGTGTTGGATATCCCCGTTTAAGCAGGGCTGTTTTTAGGCAAGAAATTTCATCATCCAGCGTTTCAATAGAGCAAATCTTTCTTGCTCTTTCGAATAGAGTGTAAACCAAATTTCGCTTTCGTTGTATCGGCACAAAGCTCAAGAAGTGTAGGTATTGGCCTTTCCATGTGTCTTTGTGAAAAACAGATCGCCGTATTGAACCATCTTCCTGTCTAGTCATGAGGACATCCAGGAAAGAGAGCTTGTTGAACTGCTCCTTCTCCATTGTGAATCTAATCTTAGGATGGAGACTGTTCATGGCAACAAGTAGATCTTTGGCTTCATCGTCGTTATCAACAATAGCAAAAATGTCGTCTACATATCTTTTGTACAGTGTTTTCCTATTCAATTTTTCTGAGAACTTTGCTTCTAGGTGACCCATAAAAATGTCGGCAAGGGTTGGACCAAGTGGACTTTCCATTGCCACTCCATCAATTTGTCTGTAGATCTGTCCATTGAACAGAAATTGAACGTTTTTCGTGCATAGTTTCAACAGGTCACGTAATATTTCGGGTGACAGGCGGGTTTCAGACGCAGGGTCGCATATGATATCGATAGTCTCATCCAGTGGTACATTTGTGAATAGTGATGCAACGTCCAAAGATATCATCGTTTTGTTGGAAATGTTCTGATGCTTTATTTCTTTAATAAACTGAAAACTGTCTTTTATTGTGTAAGTTGAAAATAGGTGTCGGATTGGCTCTGTTTCCTTGACAAGCCACTGTGCTAGTCTGTGTTGGGGTGAATTAGACATAGACAGAATTGGTCGTAGAGGTATGTCCTTTTTATGCGTCTTTGGCTATCCATATAGTCTGGGGATACATGTTCGCCTCGGTTTCAAGGATAGCGCGGTTTTTTCATCAATCAGATTTTTGTCCAACAATTGTTTAATTATTTTCCAGGCGGATTCTTCCACTGCCTTGGTTTCATCTTTCCCTTGCGTTTCGAGACGAAATTTACTAGGATCGTCTAAAATGGATTCCAATTTGTTTACGTAGTCTCTCCGGTTAAGAATGGCAACCCCGTGGCCTTTATCAGGCTTGGAAATTACTATTTGTTCATGCCGCTTCAATGCAGCTAGGGCAGCCATGTGTTCTTTAGTTATTGGAGCTTTACGATACTGATGACAAATGTCCACTAGTTTTGCTTTCAGCCAACCTACGTCATCCGTGTATCTGGGTATTAGGTCGGACAGTTGCGAATTCAAGTCTTCGAACTGAGCCTCAATTTCGACAGGGGTTAATTCTTCGGTCTGGCACACAAAAGTCAAGTCCTAGTGATAGAGTCTCTGTTTGTAGCTTAGTAAGTTTGATGTCCGATATATTAAGAAGAACCTCATCGGAGTTCTGGGGAAAAATATCGTCCGTAGGCTTCCTTTTTACTGACTTCATTAATTTAAAGAGAAATGACTCTCTAGTCTTCTTTTGTATGATACATGAGTGTTTAATTAACATAAACCAACAAAAGGCACTTATCTTATCGAGAACATGCCTAGATTGGTCCAGATGAGATTTTCTGTGGTCGACAACATCAACGGAGTCCTCTATTTTTGATCGCGCAAGACCTCATGCAAAGGTTCGTACTGGGTTATATAACTCACTCGGTCTTCCGCTTCACTCCAGCGGCAACGTGTTACAGTATCCTGCCTGCGGAGTACCAGAAGAAAATCAGCCAGCTAACGACGGTAATCAGTGTCCGTGTCCGGAATTTCATCCCTCAAATCCTACTTCTCTTTATGCACATAAGGGTCTTCTGATGCCACTTATTATTTTGAAGAACCGAACGGGGACATCCGAACAATAAGTTCCGTGGACAGTCAACGGCTTGACGAAGTAGCTCATCTCCCTTGGAAACATACGGTCCTTCTCCCTTAAATTTTTTGCTCTAAATATCAGGTCATCGTTAAAATAAGATGTCCATGCTTCAGATTCTATTGTTCTTCCACTGCCCAGATATCCTTTTAGTAACTTTCCAGTGAAAGCCCTATTGTAAGCGGTGTCCTACAAGGCACTGTATTGGGTCCTCTTTTGTTCTTGCTTTACATAAATGATATCTCGGCGACAGTCAAGCATTCTCAATCATTTATTTATGCCGATGATCTCAAATGTGTATATTCTTTCAAGAACTTTACGAGTCTTCATTGCCTGGAGCAAATCCATGCTGACTTGCTTGCTCTCTCAGCATGGAGCTCAAAATGTCTAATGGAATTCTCACCTTCTAACTGTCGCTATATGTGTTTTGGACCTGACAAACTACCCCAACCAGTGGTCTTTCAAGGCGCACCTATGACTGAATGTACCACCATCAATGATTTAGGTTTAAGCTACACTAGTAATCTTGATCTCTCGCCACACGCTGACAGAATTACAGTCAAAGCTGCCCAGATTTGTGGCTTTATTTCTTACAATTTCTATCTTCCTGAAATTAAATTAAGGCTCTATCGTATGTTTGTACTTCCCATTCTCCAGTATTTTTGCCCATTCGTTGGTTTGATGAATGAGGTTAGTCGTTTAAAAATTGAAAATGTTCAAAGACGTTATTCTAAAAAAACTTTTAGATAGGGAACATCCAAATATCTATTACTCAGATAGATGCCGGCTAATTAACCTAAAATTTTTATAGGTTCGAAGACTAGAAGCAGGCTTCTGTCTCCTCTTTCGCATTAATCATAGTTCAAATCTTCCTCGGATTTCAGCACTTACCCCTAGTAGTCGCCCATACAATCTTCGCAGCTCGTCATTGATTATACCTCCGCCAGCTTCCTCCACCTCTAAGCGCTCTCTGTTTTTCGCTTCCAGGTGTTCTTTCCTCTGGAATAGTCTTCCAATAAATATAAAACCTTCAGATAATCTACATACCTTTAAGAGAAGGTTACGCCCTTATCCCTGCCAGCACCAGCCCCGCCTAGCCCCGCCTGGCCCCCTCAATAATGGCGAGGCTGGAGGGGGCTATGAGGGGGCTAGGCGGGGCTGTGGAGGGGGCTGTGGCGGGGCATGCAACGCGATAGCCCCGCCTAGCCCCGCCAGCGAAAAAAAATGCGCAGGGGACGCCACATCCCAGCCCACTTTTGGCACCACTTTAAAATATCGTCCTGTATACCGAGTCCCCTGAGGCGCAGTGCCTCACTGTTCCCACATGTTACACGTCGAAACCCACCCTGCGTACGTAGAGTACTACGGTTTTACATAGTACTCACAGTGACCCCGCCGTACATGGACCCACTAATCAGCAGCCAATATCAAATACACGCGACGCAAATTCATGTGAGTGAGTTATTTATTGTATAAACGAAAAAGGATCGGAAAATATGTACAATCATAATAAATGTCAGTGTCAGTATATACATGGACGTCAACGTATGTTATGCCATTCAGTTGGGCGTTCCAGAAGTCCCCGCATCGACGGCTGGTTCCTATAATTGAAAAAAAACACTTGTTTGGAAGACACATGGTCGACGGAAGGGAAGTAATACTTTAAAATTTAAATGACAATTTTCACACTAATTAAGTTCACAGTAGCAGCATGAATAATTAACCGTAAATATGTAAATTTCATATAATGGTAATTACCGTCTCTTCAGATGGAGGCAGTGTGGGGCAACGTGTATCATCGCTAGTCCCTCCAATTGCCTTCTGGCGTTTAGCCCGGCCGCCATACCGGTCCCTCGATCCATGAAACCAATTTGCACTTCCAGGGCGTATTCTTTCAAGGCCTCCAGAAAGGACTTGCCTCCAACTGCGTTTGTGTCGTCCATGTCTTCCACGGACTCTGCACCCATTATTCGTTTACACGCTCATAATACCTACCAGCGGAAGTCTCAGAGTTCAGTATAGGCATTTCTGGTTCGGGAGATTGATTGCCAACTGCCGTCGACGTTGACGGAACCTCAGGCTCAGGCTCTTCAGTGGCCTCATAGTATGCCTTCATCTGGCGCTTAATGCGCCTGTATATTGTGCTCCGGTGATAGCCAGAGTGATTACGCTTCATAATGGCTTTGGATATTCAGTAAGAAACGATAAACAATTTGTATAAGTGGACTACGAACACCAAGGCTAAATAGTACATACATAGACATACAACTCCACTACTTGAACTGGCTGGTGAGTAGATACCCAAACAATTAGCATAATATACATAAATTAACTAAGACAGATATCAAGAGCACGAAAGCAGCATTGGTTGACTCACGATATTATCTGCAACCGATTGTAAAATATACGAATTAATAGCACACACAGATTGTAAACCGGTGAACAAATAAGAGTTTACGCAATGAGGGACTTAAACAAAACCTCAATATATTGTGCTCATCCGCAGCTACATTCAGTGGGCGTAAACGGATGCTTTCTCCATGGTTTATAAGCCAATTTTGATAAATTAGCTCCTTTAAATTCCAAAGAAGGTACAATAAGTGGTGCTTTTGGAACATACCTTTCGATGCAAATACGCTTCAAAAGGCTTCAATCCAGAGGGGGCTCTGGCCCCACCCAGCCCCTCCAGCCCCGCCTATGAAGGAGCCATGTGCTGGCAGGGATATGAATACTGACTCGATTACGCTTTTATTTTCCTCATCCTTACCAGACACCTTTCCTATGACACTGAGAAAGGGCCACCAGGAATTTAGGACGCCGCCATTAACTTTCCGTATCTGCTCACATTTCCTTCCTTTGTGAGTCGTATCGCTTCCTAAGATCCCTCACCAGAAATGTTAATTTTTCCAATTTTTTCAGTTCATGCATCGTGCCCTCACAGAATGCGCTCCATCGACGCTCTTGGTGAAGCCTTCTGTATTCGCCATATACTATTTGTCTGGTCGCATCTCCCTTGCCCCATCCCCGGATGGACTCGGATGAATGTAACCGACCGCCTTTGGGTTCTTATCGCCTCGAGACTGGTTTTTAGTTTCGCCACTTATTTGCCTTATTCAAGGCCACATACAGGCCAGTCCTGACTGACCCGCCTGCTTACCCCTTCATGAGATCCGTTATGCAATGCCGTATGCAGCTGACACTTATTTCTGCCCTGTCGATGTCCGATTATATACCATTTTATACCGCCACATACAGGCCAGGCCTGCTCGCATTTTTCTGTTATTATTTTTTTATCGAGGGGATTTTTTCTCGTGTAAAAGTAATCTAATCATTTTTTAATTTTCCTGTGGAGTTTTTTTTTCACCCCTCGCTTATCATTTTTCTTAACAGACGACTATTTCAAAAACTATGCATTGCATTTTGTACAGATTTTGCCTACCTCGTCTAAAATTCGCATGTATCTTTATTTTTACTTTCTTTGATGGGACCCTGACGGGCCTTTAATGAACAATTATTATGTGTAACGGCTTTCGAAGCTGACTCCAAACTCTCTCATCTAGATTACACTTGCATTTGAAATAACCGTCAAGACAGTCTTGGCAGGGGAAGCTGCAACAAAATTAGTCGAAAACTTGCATTTCTGCCGCCGGACCTTCTGCACTTTTCCGCGGTAGGAGGCAGATGCTGTCTCCAAGTTGCTTTAAAAACTAAGTTCTCCCAATATTTCCACTGAATCTACCGCGCACCCAACGCCAATGAGAATTTTGATTGTTGCCTCTCACAGACATTTCATGCTGCGGCCGAGTTAAACTTTAAGTATCAGTTGGTTGCGCTGACTTCGATCTTCCTGAAGTCCGCTGATCTCCGTCTTCCGGCCGCAAAATGTGCGGGGACTTACTTGAGGCTGTGGATGTTGGGATGTGAGATTAGGTTTTCGATTTCCCCCTAGACGACCAAGTATACTTAGCCTAATTTTCTTAAGAGGTTCCATGCTTTTTCCAGTGTCATCTCTAGGCTACTCGGGAGCTCAGACCACGCATAGTTGTTTCTACGTTAAAATATGACGCACACAAAATTTTGTCCCCAAAATATAGCTTCTTATTCGATTTCCGATCAGCCCGCTCGACCGAATTATGACCATACCTTAATTCTTACGACTAGACTGATTTCTTCCTAGGTTCGGATGCGAATGTTTGCATTGATAGACTGTGTGATATTTTGGATCTGCTTATTTGTCGTTTTATCCCCCGTTAAAATAATTAATGTCTGGGATGAGGTTTTGCTCCCCTTGCCCCTCCGCCGAAGGTTGCGTGGACACTCTCGTCAAGTCAGTTCTCAGAATGACACTTCCATTCTGACCTCGATTTCCCATATTTCCGAGCTGTCTTGAAATCTTGTAAAATACTCAGCACCCCATCCTCCGAGACGCTCTTCGACATCGTTGTGACCTGCAAGAAAGGTGGGACAGGAAGAAAGCCAGTTCGGTGGACAAGTTCTTTATTGGTAACTTGCGGACACGAGGGGTTACAACTCATAAGAAAGATGAGCTATTTATATTGGCTACTGTGCGTTCTGGTATATTCCCTCCAATGACGGGCCAGACGTTGAGGACGTTCTAGAATGTTCCTGCCTCGGGCGTGCTTGTTGCTGATTGGCCATCGCGCGCGCGATGCCCCCTCCCCCGCGGAAAGGTCTGGAATGCTCGACCAGCCATTGATTTGGTCGCACACGTGAGCACAGCCACCACACGTGCTCGGCGCTGAAGTGCACGCCGGTCGGCCGTCTAATTTTACGCGTGTCTTACACCGCCGGCTTGGTCCCGTGTTCCGCGCCTCAGGCCGTGGCTCCACGCTGTTTACACTCCCCATAACAGAAGTCTTATAGCAGGCGCCACGTTGACCACCGATAGTTTCAATGCATTCTCACCAAAACATTCATTGAAGACTCGACCGCCCCGTTTCCAACCATCTAGGCTGGGAGCGGCATGTTGTTGAGAGTGCAAGCGGCGTGGAGCCACGGCCTAAGGCGCAGAACGGGAGGCCAAGCGGGCGGCGTGAGACAATCGTGAAGTTGGACGGCTGACCGGCGTGTACAGCAGCACCGAGCACGTGTGGTGGCTTTGTTCACGTGCACGGCCCAACCAATGGCTGGTCGAACATTCCAGACGTTTGCTTGTGGGGATTCGCACAAGCGGTGGCCAATCAGGTATCATCACGCCCTGAATAGGAACGTTCTAAAACGCCCTCAACGGCTGGCACGCCATTGGGCAGAATGTTGTGGAGCTCACAAGGGCCAACATAAATAACGCATCTTCCTGGCGATTTGTGACCCTTCGTGTCCTCAAGTTGACAATAAAGTGCTTGTCCTCCAAACCGGCCCTCTTCCTGTTATACTTTCCTTCCGGGTCAAAACACGGTGCCGTTCACAAAACTATAACTTTCGTCCTCTGGGACGTGACTGTAAAATTTCTACGTTTCCGTCAAGCTTATAGCCTGGAACCTGATGTTGTCCGAGGTGTTACTTTAAAAGTTGACGTAAGTGAGGTTATTCTGTTCATCTCGTGCAAGATATGCAAATTCGCTCTCGAAAGTAAAACCTATATTACATTGTAGATAAAATCACACATTCATCCTATTCCGAAACATGGTCGATCTACGTCATTCAACGACTTTCAGCCAATAAACACACTCAGCAGTTTCTGAAACCTTAGAGACACTGACGATGAAACATTCAATAGAGAATAATATACTGAATGCTGCTCAGCACGGATTCCTCGAAGCTCGACCTTGTGATACCTGCCAGCACTCTTTCTTCGATTAAGCTCTCTAATCCAGGGGCAAAGGTTTTGCATTTTGCGTAGTCTATTTCGATCTCACTAAGGCTTCTGATTGTGTGGACCATGATCTTCTTCTCCTAAAACTTCCCCGCTTTCGCAACAGGTGGTAAACTTCGAAAATTGATATCCTCTTACCTGGGCGCTCGCACATATCTGGTTGAGATTTCCGATGCTTTCTCCAACCTTACATGTTTGAGGAGTGGTGTCATTCAGGGTAGTGTACCTGGCCAGCTATATTTTGTCTTTTTGTCAACGACGTGACAGATTTGTTTCAGAATAGTAAGCCTTTCATGCATGTCGATGATCTAAAAGTTGCGTATGGAAATAAGTCGGCAAATCGTGACATCCTGCTTAAACTTCTAAAGAGCGACCCAGAGACCCCTGCCTAATGGTGCCGCACATGGCGCCTCTCTCTCGCACTCTCTTGGCGTGAATGTTCAGTCATGGTGGTCGGCGATGATCACTAACCCCAGCTAAGTATTTTCGGTTACGACATAAATGTGCCTGGGGTTATTAAGGATCTGGGTGTATCATACTCCAACAGCTTCAATCTTTCGGAGAACTGTGCCCTGATAGTCTCCGAAGCATGTAGAACGACCGGGTTTATCCTCCGAAATTTCGAAACTAGTGATATTGCAATGCGCCTTTATAACATGTACGTTCGGCCTGGCCTGGAATACTGTTCGTTTTTATTTAGCCTCATACGTGCTGTTGAGCGGAAGAAAGTAGAATTCGTCGAAAATTTTTTACTAAGAATGTTTTAATTTCGGAACGCCGGAATTTGACTTATCAAGAACGTTGCCGGCTTACAGGCCTTGATTCCATTTGGTCTCGTCAATTGTATAAGGGGCTATTTACACAATTTAAGCTTTTAAACAATCGTACTTTTAACCCGCTCACTACTTTGAAACATCTCGGCCACTCACTACGTAGCAGTCGTCGTGGGATCTTTTTATTTCTCCTTCTGGCACGTATCGTTCTGTGATCGAAATTACAACATGAAACAACTTACCCAGGAATGTGAAAATTTAGCAAAATTATTCCTTGTTTAAGAGAAATATTACCCTTTCCGTATTTAGAACAACTCTCACAGATTTAGATGCTTACTCCACCGATTTAATTTACCGGTGTGCTGGTGTTCGTGATCTCTGATCTCCCTGGCCAGTCTCACCTCCTGAGAAATGGTACTTATTTTACGGCCCGAACACAAGGTACAATTTCTTTAGCCGACAGCAAGTGACGGTTCCTCAATACCTTTATTCGGTTGGTTCCAATTTCAT